TATGTTCACATTATAATTGAGCCAGTTATTTAGTGTTTTCATTTTAGCAATCTTATTTAGGAACATATATGAATATTTTTCCAAAAGAACATTTATAATTGATATTCTAATTTGAGTTAAAAATTATTCAGTACTTAGTTTTATTTTTTGAAGTGTTTTCCAAACAGGACTTTGTTCAATGACATATGCTTTAGCTGCTATCATCCTGTAGCAGAGACTATCTCTGTGTAGTTTGGAGGTAGTCTGGAAATAGGTAAAAATACAGATTAACAAATAAATATCTTTATAGGATTGCATCAAAAACTACCTTTTATTCATTCAACAGATACCTCTTGGTAGATATCCATATATTAGTCAGTGGTTTGCACTCATCAGATGCTCTACGCCACAGAAGAGAGATGAAAGCAGTCTACTTTTCTCAAGATTGACAACCTCAGAAACCCTATTGGTCAATTTCATCCTATGCTGTTGCTGTTAAGTGCTGTTGAGTCGCAGACGACTCATAGTGACCCTATGAACAAAAGACCTGAAAACTTGTGTAACTTTCATTGTTTCTCCACGTTCATAAAGTTTCCAGGGGCAAGCTATTTTGGAAGTGGATGCCACTCCTGCTTCCAAGTTCTATATAGGCTCACTATAATTTGAAATCAGCTGGACAGCAGTGAGTTTGTTTAGGTCTGGGAATTGGTTTTGACCTACATGGCGAGTGACTGCTGATTACATTCCACAGAGGAAAGTAAACATGAAAACAAAATGGGCATTAGATGAAGAACAGTCCATAAAATAGTATGTTTACACTCTTTTTTAAAGAGAAAAAGATAAGTAGTCTCCTTCCATGGAGATTTCACATTTGTGGCCTGGGAAATCCAATGGAGCACCTGTTAGAAGTCTTTTCTGACTTGGCAGCACTGAGCATGAGCAGGTTGGTGGGAAAAAGATGAATAATCTCCCATGTTTGCACTCTTGACAAGTTATGACTATTAGCACCAGTATTTATGACTACAGATTTTAGAATTTTATGGAAAATTAAGTAGACAATATGGCTAGCATAACGTAAATATGACCAAATGCTCTTTTTACTCAGGATGAAACATATTTATAGTGATACCTAAAGTAAGTAAAGATTTTAGTGGGTGAGTTTAGGCTTGGGAAAGAGTAGCATGGTGAAAGAACAATGTTTCTGAGGAAACACAAGCTGGGGTATTTGTCAACTCTGCTCAAAACTATACAACATGAAATTGAGAACCTATGATTAGTGTTTCATTTTTGTTAGGTGACTTACCTTAGCTATTGTGCACATGAGATTAATAGCATTTACTGTGTTGTGTACTGGAAGTATCTTTAAGTTACCACCAAGGAATCTGAAAAATAGTTTATAAACAGGGTTAAACAACTAACATATCTTACATAGGTAGGAAAAAACACAAACCTCTACTGTTTGTTATTTATATTCCTTCTACCCTACTTTATCTACAAGTGGTTTAGGGTGGCATTCTAACCTATACTTAAATGACTAAAAGGTGTTACATTTTGCCTAGATCTTTTAGGAAAATCTCAGGTTCGGCATGAATTCTGGAACTTGTCACACTGATTATTCACTGAATAGCTATTTGGCCTGTGTTTCATGAAATATGACAGGTTAACATTTATCTTCCTGTAAAACAAAAACTCATCTGCCTAAAATAATTATGAATAAAGTAAACACATACAATTTCAGAACCATGTGTCCAAAGTTATATTCTTCCATACCTCTGCTGAATCCTGAACATGAGTTTCCATTCTTCGGGTCCATGGAGGGCAGCAGATAGAACCAAAAAACTATTTTGGTGAACATTTATAAACTTCTCAATTTTAGCCATAAATACTTCTTCAGTTGACATAAGACATTCTTTAACATCCATCAATAAAAAAGCAACTCCTATGGAAGTAAATGTAATATTTGGAACAGAATAACCATTTTGCCATGCAGATTAAATTTTGTCCAAAATCAACAAAAATTCCTATTAAAAAAAGATACCTGACCCTACATAACCACCCATAAACCTAAATTCATTGTCATTGAGTTAATTGTGACCTACAAGAGAAAGTGACCCTACAAGACAAAGTAGAACTGTTCGTGGAGTTTTAAAGGCTATAAGTCTACAGAAGCACACTTATAAGTCTTTCCCTCAGTAGATGGTGGATTTGAATCACTTCCTTTTCATTTAGCCAAGCACCATGCCATCGAGTCTTCTTAGACAATATTTTGTCCCCTCTTCTAACAGATTCTAGTGGTTTTAGTTTAACAATAAAGATAGGGAGTTCTGGTGGCCTAGTGCTAAGGAGCTGTCCTACCATCTCAAAGGGACACAATTTAAATCGACCCTCCCATATGATTTACTGCTACTGAAAATCCATTGGAGAGTCAGCTATGAACTGGTTCTGGCTTAATGGTGAACAACAACAACAATCTAATAAAAGTATGTTTTGAACTGACTGTATGCATTGCTTTTCAGCAGTAACAAACTTTGATACATTTACTAAAAGACCTTAAACAATTACTTGGTGACTGAACTACAAAAACAGTAGAATATTTACTTATATAGTTCTAAGAAATCACAATAAAAATAGTTATTAAATATACTGTACCAGATAGAGAAAATAAAATTGATCCATCTTCCACTGTCTCTGAATACCGGACCTTATGGCTTTGATTTTCTAGGGCAATGGCAAGTTCAGAATTCTATAAAAACATTTTAGGAATACAAAACATGCTTAACAATTTTGTTGTTTTTGATTGCCTTTGAGTCGAGCATGATTTATAGCGACCCTATGAGTGAAAGACCTGAAGCCTCTCTACAACTATCAACATGTATCAAAGTTTATAGTTTTAGCTTGTTTTATAACCATTCCACTTTAGAGATTTGGACATTTAAAAAAAAAAACTCAACACAAACCCACTCTATGAAGAAACACTCATTCACTCACTGCTATCCAGTCGGAACCAACTCATAGCTGACCCTCCAGTGGATTTTCAGAGGCTGTCAATCACATGGGAGAACATTATCCCTCTTTCCCTGTGGAGCAGCTGGTAGAGCTGAACCTTATGCCATTGAATTGGCAGCACAACTCCTTACTTACTGGACTCACAGCAGTTAAATACAGTTGTAGAATTAAACTTCAGAAAGAACCAGGAAAACGGCAAACTTTTTTTAAAAAAGCCTTTAATTTGTAAATAGATTTGGGGATGACTGGACCACAAGGCAGTCATCAGAAAAGAGCAAGGAAACACTATATGGTTCAAAATCAGGAAAGGTGTACACAAGGGATATATACTAGCTCTAAATCTTTTCAATCTGTATGTGGAACAGTTCATCTGGGAGTTTGAGCTCTATGAGGAGGTAGGTAGGATCAGGATTGGAGGAAGACTCAACAACCTGCATTATGCAGATGACACAACCTTGGAAACTGAGGAAGACCACAGGCATTTGCTGCAGATGGTGAAGGACTACAGCCTTCAATACGGATTTTAGCTGAACATCAAGAAAACAAAGATCCTCATCACTGGCCCAACTGGCAGCATCACGACAGAAAGTGAAGGGATAGAGATTGTTAACAGCTTCAGCTTGCTTGGCTCCATAATCAACATTTTTGGTACCAGCAGACAGGAAATTAAAAAAAAAAACAATTAAAAAAAAAAAAACCCAAAAAAACAAACACTGGGAAAATCGGCTGTCAGGGATTTCTCTAGAGTACTGAAGGGCAATGGTGTCAGTCTAGAGACTAAGGTGCACTGGATCCATGCCATGGTCTTTGAAATTACTTGCTATGCATAAGAAAGCTGGACAATGACTAAAGATGATACAAGAATAGATGCCTTTGAGTTGTGGTGCTGGAGAAGAGTACTGAATATACATACCAAGAGAACAAACAAGTCCTTCCTTGAGAAGCTGAAACCATAAGAATTGATGCCTTTGAGTTGTGGTGCTGGAGAAGAGTACTGAATATACATAATAAGAGAACAAACAAGTCCATCCTTGAGAGGTGGAAATCGGGCTGCTCCTTGGAAACAAGGATTTTTAAGATCTGTCTGGCATACTTTGGGCATGTTGCAAGGAGGGACCAGTCCTTGAAGAGGGACATGCTTGGAAGGGTGGAGGGACAGTACAAGAGAGGATGACCCAGGGAACTCTGGTGGCCTAAGGGCAAGAAGCTACAATGCAATCCTTGAGATGCGCTGTTTAAATACACCAGATGCTCTGCTGGAGTAAGAGGGGCAATATCCTCCATCAGATCCAACAGTACACAAGATAAAAAGAGGAAGACCCTTAATGAGTTGTATTGACTTAGTGACTGGGGTGATGGGGTGAGTAAGTCAGGGACTATTAAATTGGGTCAGGATAAAGCAGGGTCCAGAGCTGTTGTACATAGGGTCAGTATGAGTTGGAGTCAACTTGATGGTACATGGCACATACCACCACCACCACCACCACCACATATTATGAATGCAATGAATACCACTGAAATATATACTTAAAATTATTAAAATGGCAAATTTTGTTATATAGTTTTTACTGCAATTAAAGATGGAAAAACAACAACTTTGAGAATAGTTATAAAATACACTAATGCATGACTAGAAGGGGATGGGGGTGTTCCTTAAACAGGAGTTCCAGATACAGAATACTACACAGGAGACACCTCTCCAATGCCTCTGTTTATATTAGTTACTTAAGTATGCTTTTAAGATATTTTAACCTTAGTGAGTCAGAAAACATGCATGAAGACAGCAGCAGGACTTTTGGATTAAACACTAATCATAAAAAGAATATCATCTCATAGTCCATTCAAATTATTAGATGATATGACCAAAGACATTAAATGGTCAACATTGTTTCTTAAGTTACTCAAACTCAAGCTTGTTAGTCTCCAGAGTATAGAAAAGTCCCTCAGAGAGATTAATTTTGTAATTCTGCCTCACTATTGTGGATTCTCAGCACTGAAGTTGCAATTATGTATAATAATTGTATATGATAATAATAGTGTATGACAGAATTTTGTACAATCAATGATTTATTTATTGCAAATACCTTTTATAAGAATCACAAATGGTGACAATATACATGGACCTCACTTGATGGTCTGCCCAGGAATCAGATCTCATACATCTGTGGGAAAAAATCATTGGAGCAGCTCAGTTTCAGCAGTGAAAACTAGGCCAGGGGCTGATTGAGGAATAGACCATCAACTCCTTATATACAAGTTCAAACTTAAGCTAAGGAAGAATCCACAGGAACCAAAATATGACACTGAATCTATCCCACCTGAATTTAAAAACCATCTCAAGGATAGGTTTGAGGCCTTGAAGACTAATGAGTGAAGACCAGATGAGCTATGGGAGGATATCAAGAATATCATTCATGAAGAATACAAAACATCATTACAAAGACAGAGGTGGAAGAAAAGACTAAGATGGATGTCAGAAGAGACTAAATACTGCACTAGAATGCTGAAGAGCTAAAGCAAAGGGAAGAAAGCAGAAAGTTAAGGAGCTGAGAAGAAGATTTCAAAGGGAACCTTGGGAAGATAAAGTATTATAATAAAATGTGCAGAGCTGGAGTCAGGAAATCAAAAGGGCCAAACTTAGTTGGAATTTCTTAAGGTTAAGGAACTGAAGAACAAATTCAAGCATATGGAATGCTTTAGGAAGCAGAGGGTCACTGTACCAAAATGAACTGGTTGACACAGAATAATTTCAAGAAACAATATAAGAACAAGAAGTCATGGTGATAAAGGAGGAAGTTTAGGCTGCTCTGAAGGAACTGGTGAAAAACAAAGCCCCAGGAATTAATGGAATAGCAACTGACATATTTCAACAAACAGATGCTGCCTTGGAGGTGCTCACCAGGAGGCTGTGCTAAGAAATCTGGGGGACAACTACCTAGCCAACTGACTATAAGGGATCCATATTTCTTTCCTTTCCCAAAAAAGGTAAACTGAACAGAGTGGAAATTATTAAACAATACCAGTAATATCACACAGAAGTTAACTCCTGCTGAAGATTATTACAAAATGATTGGAATAGTACATCAACAGAGAACTACCACAAGTATAAGCTGGGTTTAGAAGAGATTGTAGCACTAGAGACATTATCACTAATGACAGATATATCCTGGCCAAAAGCAAAGAGAATGTCTGTGTTTCATTGACTATGCAAAGGCATTTGACTATTTGGATTGCAATAAATTGTGGTTAACCTTGAGAAGAATGAGAATCCCGGAACACTTGATTATGCTCATGAGAAACCTACACTTAGACCAGGAAGCAGTTGTCAGAACAGAGCAAGGAAATACTGCAAAATCATGAAAAGAATCTATCATCTTGTCTCCATATCTTTTCTATCTATATGCAGAACAGATCATTTGGGAGCTGGGCTTTACGAGGATTAGAGAAACACAACCTGTAATATACAGATGACACAACCTTGCTTGCTGAAACTGAGGAAGACCTGAAGAACTTGCTGCAGAAGGTCAAGGACTGCAGCCTTCAATATGTACGAGAGCTCATCATCAAGAAGACATTCTCACCACTGGGCCAATTGGCAGCACCATGATGGATGGAGAAGAAATTGAGGTTGTTAACAATTTCAGCTTCCTTGGCTCCACAATCAACACTTTTGGCACCAGCAGCCAGGAAAGCAAAAGACAAATTATATTAGGAAAATGTGCAGTCAGGGACTTCTCCAAAGTACTGAGAAGCAACGATATCCATGTAGAGACTAAGGTATACCTGATTCAGGCAGGCCATGATTTTCATAATTACTTGCTATGCCTCAGAGAACTGGACAATGACTATGGATGACAAGAAGAGCTGATACCTTTGAGTTGCGGTGCTGGAGAAGAGTACTGACCATACCATGGAATGCCAAGAGAACAAACAGGTCTGTCTTGGAGAGGATGAAACCAAGTTTTTCCTTGAAGGCTAGGACTTTGAAGCTTTGCCCCACATACTTAGGGCACGTGGCCAGGAGCGCCAGACTTTGGAGAAAGACATATTCAAAAGGGAGGAAGGAAGAGCAGGAGAGGAAGACTTTGGATAAGAGGGAATGACACAGTACCTGGGGTAATGGTGGTAGGTGTTGTCAGAGTCCGTGATACTGGCTCAGGATAGGACAGGCTTGAGAGCGAGTCATCTACAACTCGACAGCACTTAACAACAATAACAACAACCAGAGAGCTCTGTTTGCCTAGTGGATAGAAAGTGATGCTACCAAGCCAAAGGTGGGTGATTTTAATCTATGGCCCTCAGGGGACTGGTTTAAATTGTTTTTGGTCAAATGTTCTTCTAAGTGGTATAGCACTGGTCTGGTCTGTGCATTGCTGTACAGAGGTAACCCGTGGTTGCTGTGATGCTAAACACTGATACTGATGTGTCAAATGTGATAACGGCTACACATGGTGGACACTGTTTGGTGGAGCTCCCCAATTAAAACTCACTTGGAAGCAGGAGTGGCATCCACTTCCAAAATAGGTTACCTCCAGAAACTCAATGAACTTGGAGAAACGATGAAAGTTATACAAGTGTTCAGGTCTTTCATTCATAGGGTCGCTATGAGTTGTCTACGACTCTACGGCACTTAACAACAACATGAGTCACAGGCAACTTAACAGCACATAACAACAACAACAATAAACACACAAAAAAGGATAAGATTACATGTGAGAGAAATACCAAAAAAACAGA